CTACTACTACTACTACTGTCGCCATTGCTATTACTGTTGCTGTTAGTTTTACTTTTACTGTTATTGATGCTCGTACTAGTACTAGTACTTTTCTTTTTACGAATTCTAGTACTGGTACTAGTAACTAGTACCAGTACTATGAGTATTGCCATTATGCTTTTACTATTGTTGATGTTGTGAGCATTGTTACGATTATTACGATTATCATTATTATTACTACAAATATCGATACTACTACTATCGTCATTATGACTACTATGATTACTATGTTTACTGATTGCTATTATTCTTGTTTTTCGTTACCATTATTATTGTTACTATTATTATTGGTATTATTGCAATTACAACAACAACAACAACTACTACTACTACTACTACCACTACTACCACTACTACTACTACTACTACTACTACTACCACCACTACCACCACCACCACCGCGACTACTACTACTACGACGACGACGACGACTACTACTACTCTTGCTATTACTATTACGGTAAGTGTTACTTCTACTGTTACTAGTACTGGTACTAGTACTACTACTGGTGCTATTACTTATATTACTACCCTAAGTGTAAGCACCGACAGGCCCACAAATTAGGTTCCCCTACAGGGTTTTTGCGCATAAGTTCCGCGTAAGTGACGTGAAAGTCGACGTAGCCAGATCAAGGCTACCCCCCTGATGGACATCGCCAGCAATCCAACCCCAAAACGACCTTAAGCAGCTCTACAGAAGCCCTGAAGCCGGTAGGAAAGGCTCCCAGAAACTCTCAAACAATTCTGCCCCCAAAATGATTGCAATCGAGAAACCAGGAAACTTTGTCAATAATCTGAACCCTAAGACGGCTTTGTTAGAAAATCCAACCCGCAAGACGGCCCGAACCAGCCCTTTCCAACTATTGTAGCTTTCATGCAGCCCTGAGACCCCTGGGAAGCCTGCCAGAAGCTCTTAATTATAATGCCCGTAGCAACTTGTCATCGACAAGCTTGTAGCTTATAACTCAGGGTTCTAACTTGCAAAGGTATGTAAATATGCCTTCGCGAAGTTCCGCGAAAGTTAATTTCATGTTCGGGATGAAGTAGCTTAGATCAGCAACCAGATGTTGGTGTCAGAATTCTCGGCTAGCAGCGATCTGCAGCTGTTATCAGCTGTTTCTGTGTGCTTGCACGCACTAATGGATCAGGTTTTTCAGCTGGCTTCGTGGGCGGACGAGCACCGTCTGCGCCGTTTGACTGAAATAGGAACGCCTGATGTTTCAGCTGTTGGCCGTTGCATCGTACGTCTGAAAGTGGCACCATCTGTCAGAGGCACTGCATTTGTGAATATGGCTTAGGTATACGATGCAACTTCGGTAGCTGCAGGATGAGCTCTGTGGATGTACTTTCTGCGATGGTTTGCAAGGCAGCTGGGAAGCTCGACGGATCAGGCTGCAGTGGGCAGGTGCGAGATTGAAGCTTTCGTGCGGGATTGTTCTGGCATGTGAATTTCGGAAACGCCGAAGGCTCCGCATAGCGCGTCGAGCCAGATCCTCGGGTGCGCAGCAGTCCTTCCCACCACATGCGCTGAAGACTCGGAGCATCCTTTGAGATAAAAACCTATGACGCCTTCGAGAACATGGGTGAGCCCATCGATGCACCGAGCTGAGCCATGCTGAGCCTGTGTGCAGCCTTCCAGTTAGCAGGTCGTACGTCCTGTGGGGCATGGGCACAAGCCAGATCATGCCAGGTTTATTCCACATTTTTCGGAGTTTCCGTCCTCATGTCCACGGCTTAGATTGTCATCTCATGTGGACCAGCTCAAAGGCCCAAAGTGACTTTGCCAGGCTCGTTGTCCTGTTCGTAATTCCATTTGCAACAAAATTCGGACGAAGCGAGGAGGAGGCGAAGACGCGGCTTCTAGGCTTCTCTGGTCATGGTATCTGACCACGGAAGGCGGAGGATGAGGAGGCGGAGCTGCTGTACGAAGAAGTCGAAGATGATGAGGAGCGGGTGAGTGGGGGAAGGAGGCACAGCAAGAGCATTTGATGAACTTGACAGGAGGACCTCTTCGAGCCAGAAGAAGCGGAAGCGAGCCAGGACCTGTACTCAGGTCAATGTCGCGCTCATTGGAATGAGTCGAGTCGTCCGGAGCACAGTAAGCAGTCATGTTTTGCGTGTTCCAAAGTCTTAGACAAGCTGCAACGCAGGAGGAAGGGACTGACGACAAAGTTGTCGCAAAAGCTGAGAAGGCCAGCGTTGGCAGTGTTAGCGAAAACGCCGGACCAGGTTGCAGTGTCGGAAGCCAGGAGCATCAACGAATTTTGTTAGATGCAGAGATTTCGCATTGATGTTCATGACGGCTTCTCGTCCGGAAGTTGGCTCAAAACCTGAAGCCATCAGGTCACGATTGGCATTCAGACTCCGCCCTATACGAATCATGGTTCTGGACTTGTGTCCGGAGCGATATGATGGTGGCAAGGAACACCTCCTCTGGCACCCGGAGGACGAGGAGACACAGCGGCGGCGCTGGCTGGCCCCCGATGCACCGAAGCCAGTTCCAGTCAAGGTGCCCAAGGCCGTCCCAGGGGCCACGACCGTCACGCCAGCCAGCTCGGAGCATACAAGGCGCACAATGGCGGCTTCCTTCTCCTATGTTGTCGGCCAAGGCCCAGGACGTGAGCTTTCCAGGACCCATGCATCCGCTCGCGGTGTCGCAGGCTGCCAAGCTCCAAGCCATGAGCCCCAAGCCAAAACCTTACCCCTACGAAGCCTTAAAAGCCTCGAGCATTCGAGTGAGCATGTCAACACAAAGCTACAGCTCGCGCCCCGGTCAAGAAACCCTGCATTCTGGAATCGTACCCGCACGAACCCTGTAACGCCTGAAGACAAACATAATCACTGATGCGATCCCTTCTCCAGGCGGCTTTAACACCTACACCAACACGATCCCAAAGCCGGCCGTGAAGGTGTCAAACATGGGTGCCTCGATTCTCGACCGCAGCCGTTGCGCTGCATTCCCGCACACAGCATACACAGCCCAACATCCAGCCGTGCGCGTGAGGGCAGTCTGCCAAGCAGCCCCTCCAGTCACGGTCTACGTCGTCCACCCGCCGGTTTATGTGCAAGCTCGAGCTGCTCCGCTTCACGTCCACTCAATGAGCCGTGAGACGTCCTTTTTCGGAGGAATTCGTCCGATCGTGTACTCCGCCGTATATGTTAGCAATCGCTTCATTCTTCCGCCACGGGCGCTCGTACGGGCCTAGGCTTTGGCACTGCTTCATGTGGGCCGCCCCTGGCAGAATCATTTCGATGCTCAAACCCCCTCAGGCCGAAAAGGCTTGACCGCATTTGACTGACAGCGTACAGTAGGTACCCCAGTGATTGTTTTTCGTTGGATTGCGTAAGTTGGAGTACTGTAGTATAGGACCAGGGTGCCCTCATTTCTGAGCTTTAGCTGGGGAACCATACCACCGCT